ACATAGAAAATAAATGAATATAGATTTATAGGTTAAGCCCTAAGCGTGTGTTGAAAAAAATTGTTTTAAGAATAATAAAACCATATAGTGTTAGTGAAGGTATTGCTATGCATCTGTTCATATATGTAGGAATCCACTTCAGAGATTAAACAGAATTTTGGAGCTTCCGACCATCATAATTCCCACCAGCCCTTCTCTGTTCGTAAGCAGCAGGTCAAGCTGTAAGGAGGCTCATTTACCAGCTGCATCAGGAAGTTCTCTTCCACACACTCCAGGAATCTCCTTGACTGCCTCCTCTCTGCTGTGTTGAGTTTCCAGCAGACAATCTGGCAGGTTAAAATTTCCCACAAGAACAAGGGATGGCGATTGCAAAACGTCAGCCAGCCACTTATAGAATACTTCATCCACCTCTTCATCCTGGCTAGGGGGTCAATAACAGACTCCCACCAGGATATCTGCTTTGTTGGCCTTCCCCCTCATCCTCCCCTATAGGCACTCAGTCTTACCATCACTCTTCTTGGGGTCTATATAGTCAAAATACTCCCTAATGTACAGAACCACCCCACCACCTCTTTTTCCTCGTTCTTTTATTCCAGAGTACACCCAAACAGTGTGTAAGAGTGGAACTGTTGCTGCCCTCTGAGCAGCCCAGAGAATGTGCAGTATGACACTAGTAGCTTCCTCTTGAACACAGTAAGATAACTAAAAATACTCAGTGTCTAATTGGCAACATGTGATATACCAAATGCATTTTCATACAGAATATCTGTAAACCGAAAGCAAATCTTTCTAAGTTTAATAGTTGCAGAGCCAGAATATGCTATGCCCTTGCTGAGCAAGAGTGGGGAGCCTTGAGCTCAGGCTGTCTGCAGACCCAGACAGGGAACACTAACTCAGCTTATGGTAAATTATTGTTTTTCAGATTCACTCTCAATCCCCTGACCTCAGATCTGCTGTTAAAACATGATAGGGGAAGGCAGTTACTCCAAGTATAAACAAGCTCTGTTTTAGTGATGGTTCTTGTTGTGGAGCCTAAGGCTGTCCTACATCCTCAGAAATGTCATTCCCCCCACCATCCTACTCCCGGTAGCCCAAGCTGTTGTTTCTTTTTTTGCTAGCTGCAGCTCACGTTGGTATTTTTAAAATCCCAGCCAGAGCTTCTTTGCTGCACGACACGCCAGGGGTCCAGGTGGCCTTGAGGGCTACCATGACCTGCTGGCCCCTGGGCAAAACGTGAACAAAGCTGGTGGGTCCAGAGCATCTCCAGTGGGTGGAGGCCCAAAGCTGTGCTCTTTCAAGGCTCAGATGTGACAAGAGCCAGGATGCACTGGAGATGTAGAGCCTTAGAGTCAAACATGTGGGGCACCCCTTCCCCAGGCAGACACCTCTTGTTAAGTTCTCTTTCCTTTGTCTTCACATAGTGCATCTGAGGTGTTTTCTCTCTGCCCCAGTTTTTCTTCTGGGCTCAAGACATGTTTCCAAACTCTCCTTTCCTAGCGTTTATTTCCTCCCTGTTTTCAATCAGGCATCTCTACTTATACGGAAACACAAGCACCAAGATCTGCCTGCAATTGCAGTTCAAAGCCTGCAATATGGAGTTGAGGGTATTCAACTTGGATTTGTGGGTTTCCATGTTCTCGAGTAAAGAAGACCATCAAATCCACTTCTTATGTACTGAGTGATTCTCTAACCTTTAGTACCCCTCATACATCTGGGTGTTTGTTGTTTGGTTTGTGGTTTTTTTAATTTAAAAAGGAAGAAAATCTAGATCCCTGCACAATTTTATAAGTATAATATTGATGTCTACCTCTGAAGAAAGTTATGGGCAATGGTTTTGGCCACTCCACCCTGAGATTATGAGTTATTTTTTATCTCCATTCTGAGATTTGTAACTCTTTCCCAAGCATGGGACAGGGAAACTAAGTCCATAACTGTGTTCCAAATACCACTCCTGAGACCTAAAATTAAATATTGCAAAATATTTGCCTGCATGTTTTGCTTAGTTCTTACCACTGTCATTGGCCTTTACTTTAAATTATCCTTCTTTAGCCCTTGTAGTTACTGCTGAGATAAAAATAGCCTTAAGGACATTAAGGAGTGTTTTAATTCACGACTCTAGTCTATTTGTGTTACCCTAATATTGAAGAAATAATGCTAATTGTAGGGTATCTTTTTAATCAGGAAGGCAAGATACCAAAACCAAATCCAGACTGAGCCATGCCGCATTATTGCTTAGGACCAGTAGATGGCAACCACCCATTGCAGTGTCAAAGGTAAGTGAGAGTTAAGAGTTGTTCGGGTGGGGGATTTATTAGGTGACAGCTCGAGCAGCAAAGCTCTGCTGCTCTACTCAAAAAGAAAGCAGTACTGGTATTTTTCACTCCTTCTTAAACATGTCTTTTGGAAGGGAGCAGTAAGTTGCCCTTTTACATTGTAAGTTTTGACAAATTATAGTTGTGACAATCATATGGCTGCTCCTTTCTGCTCATATCAGTCAAAAATACCACAAGACAGTGGAAAAAAAATCCAAAGCAATCAGATTGCCTTAGCTTACTCAGGAATAGCCTTAAGTTCTTTCAACGATTAATTAGATTCATTATTACTTTTGGTGGAAGCAGTTAGAAGTGAGTAACAATGATCCTGGGATCAGAAACAGATTTTCTTTTAGGAACTGACTGAGGCTATTGTCATACCAGTTAATTAATTCTGGTTATATGAGTGGCCTTACAGAATGTTTTTTCACATGATCGAGTTTGAAGAAATTCTTTTTTTTTTTTTCCTACAACATTAGATAAAAAGTGATTCATTTCTAGGAGCAAGAACTGTAAAGGTCTGAAAAAATCCCATCCAAGAACCTTGTGTTTACACTTCAGAAAAGAAGTTCCTTCATTAAAACAGGAGAACAGTTATGGAAATGCATCTGTGACCTTACTAGAAAGGTACTTAGCTATCTGTAGTCATATTAAGTTTTCTTTTAGCATTGATTTAACCATATTTTGTGCATTTGTTTTCTGTAAGGATTGGTATACATAATACCTGTATGGATGCACGCAGAAGTAGAGTGTCTATAGTGCAGAAATAAATAAGACCTTTAGACCTCTGAAGGATTCCAGCATAGTCTAACACTGTCATTAGCAATTTTAAAAAGAATACACTACAAATAGCTAAACCAGCCAACAAGAAGAGCACTGTCACTTAGTAGAAGTAAACCAAAACACTCTGCATTACTGGCATGCCTCCTTCCAAGTTCTCAACCACTTGCAAACCATTAACTTGAAATGCATTCACTTGCACCCTTGCAGTACAAGGTGTATGTTTATTCTCAGAACTCACACTTTTGCTAAGAAGGCTTGAAAAACCTACTTGAGAGATAAAGCATAACCTTTTGCTCTTTTTAGAGCTACAGCTTGATCAGTTGTGAATTTCTATCAGTGACTTTGAAATGAGGAGAAAAACCAGCTGGGATCCATTCCTAGTGAATACCAATGATATGGCATTTAGAAATAGCTTTTAAAATCCTTTATGAAACCCACCAATCTCTTCTTGCTATTTCTTTAATCACATTATTTCCTTAATAACATTTATACTGTAAAAACCTCTATTCTTTAATGAGATTTGAGGGGGGTTTATGCTTTAAAGAACTTTAAGGCCTTCAACCTGGTGCTAAAATTTGAGCAACTTTATTTGCCTTAGCATGAGAAATTATGTGACCTGTGTATGTTGTTTTTCATGTGGACCCATGAGTTTTGTTAAGGGTTCAAGAGTTATCTTGGACTCTTCTTGCAGAGAACTGCAAAGCCAGTGAGATGATTTTTTTTTCAAGAAAGCCAAGGAAAGAGAAGTCTAAATGATTTAGAAGGAATATTTAGACAAACAATAAAAATACTGCTCTGTTTATAGTCATGCTTTTTTTAGTTCAGATGTTTGAGGAGGACAGATAGTTTTAAAGATTCAAGGTCTGTGGTTGCCATGAAGGGCAGAGGAAGGTCTCACTCCTGTTTTCTGGTACTTATCGCAACAGAAGTTTACAAGAGACCACCAAGGACAGTAACTCTCCAATAAAGTTTAGTTCAAAGGAATCCGTGTGGAAATTCCCTTCTGCTCAATACTTCATACACAGATCACAAAATGCCCCCTCGAGCACTGTAACAATAGTCAGATTTACAGCAGAACCCACCTCAAAGTCTGGAATTTTACATGTTAAATATCTAAGTAGGTGTCAGAGGCATCTCCAAAAGCTTGTGCTGTGTTCCTCTGAGGTGTGCAATGAAATGTGTATTTGATGAGCTGTGACAAGGAGTTCTGAAGATCGAGGTCTGGTAAGAGTGTGCACACCTCATGTATGATGGCAAAAAGGCCCTGGAAAAATGTAATTATAGCCTTTTCACTCTTCTCCTCATGCACTTTCGAAAAGTGGGAAGAGCCCAAGTTGCCCCCTACTTCTGTGCAGAAAAACAGACTCTGGACTGTTTTTCACAGAACATTTCTGTGTCTTTGGTTGAGACACTGGAAATGTTCCTCGTTGAGCAAAGCCATAGCCTGTTGGCTGGCAGACTTGTTTGTTTGATCATGTTATAGTGGAGAATGACAGTATGATTGAGCACTGAAGCAAGTGCTTGAACATTGACTTTTAAACAAAGAATGAAGTACAGATTTGCATGGGGACTTTGCTTACCTGATCCTTATTTCAGAGGCCATTTGAAGTGTAATTTGAAGGAGAGATAATCAGGGACACAGTCCAGTAAGGTGCTGAGTGATTCTGAGGTGGTGCTGGATGCTGTCTATTACCATTGCTTGCAGTGAGATTCAGAGATAATCAAACTTGGCAAGATCTGAACCATAATAAATTACCAAGATAAGATGGGTCATGAAAGAATGTGGAACACAGAAGATAAGTTTGTATTTCTTGAAAGCATTCAGCGTGACTTTTATAATTATTAACTAAACCTTAAAGCCTGAAATAGTCCTTATTCAAATGCCGTAGTCCTTTTTCATATTCTCTCCTAACAACATCTCCTCACATTTTCACAATGAGGGAAAGGAAGACAACAGATCCACCTCAGTCATCCACAGATCTGAGTGAAGGGAAGGAGAAGTTAAGACTGAAGCAAGAGGTCGGCCTGATTAGCGGAGTGTCATTAATTGCAGGCACAATGATAGGCTCGGGGATCTTTATGTCCCCTGAGTGGGTACTACATCATATGGGGAACCCTGCCAGCAGCCTGCTTATCTGGGCAGCATGCGGTCTTCTGGCCATGTTTGGAGCCTTGTCGTACGCTGAGCTTGGAACCATAATTAAAGAGTCTGGAGGAGAATATATTTACATTTTGAGGATTTTTGGTTCTTTTCCTGCTTTTCTTTTCGCCTACACTTCTGTCATCCTGGTGAGACCAGCTGGTTTGGCAGCTGTCTGTCTGAGCTTTGCTGAATACGCCGTTGCACCGTTCTACCCAGGATGTTCCTCTCCGCAGGTTGTCGTCAAATGCACAGCTGCTGCCTGCATCCTGCTTTTAACTATCATCAACTGTCTCAATGTGAGGCTGGCGACATCTGTTATGAACATTTTTACAGCTGCCAAACTCTTGGCTTTGTTGGTGATCGTGGTGGGTGGACTGGTGCTCCTTGCCAAGGGACAAACTGAGAGTTTTCAGAATGGTTTTCAGGGCACAAGTGTGGGTATTGGGGCAGTTGGAGTGGCATTTTACCAGGGACTCTGGTCCTATGATGGGTGGAACAACCTGAACTATGTAACTGAAGAACTCAAGAAGCCTGAGGTGAGTGAGTGAGATGGGTTTTATTTACTTAGTACTGCTATTAGTATTTTGATTCTATCTACGAATCTTTTAAGAGGGGTAATCAAGAGATTTACAGTGAGGATGGTGAGACACTGGCACCAGTTGCCCAGAGAAGCTGTGGATGCCCCATTCCTGGAAGTGCTTAAGGAGAGGTTGGATGGGGCTCTGAGCAACCTGGTGTAGTGGAAGGTGCCCTTGCTCATGGCACAACAGTTGGAGCTTGATAATTTTTAAGGTCCCTTTCAATCCAAACCATCCTGCGACTCTATGAAAGGCCTAAAATGCCCCACTGACTGGAAAAAAAACTATTAGGGAGCACTTGGATGCTTCAGGGATGAAGTTTTGTCTTAGTGTTTAGAGGATCTTACTGTAGACATATAGATTTATTCAGAAAAGCACTCACTACTATAATCCATAAAGGATCCTTAACACCACATAAAAGACTTGATCCATAATGTATGCATCAGAAAACAACTTTATGTCTCCCCATTGCATGGAGGGGCAACTTCAGAGCAAGCCAAGCCGCCTTACTGGAAAGAGAATATAACTTGTCTTTAAACATTTACTTTTTTGGAATTTGTTCAGTCCATGCTATAGGCGCTGAAGTAGCTCTGTGAGTGCAGAGTGCAGAGAATGTGCTTTCTACCAGTGCAGTACACAAGATCCTACAGATTAAATGAAAATGCAGTTAAATATTAACCTAAATGGCAGCAAAGATCCCAGGGCCACAGGGTTGTGAGCGCTAATAATCGGGCCCTTGCAGAGTGGAGGAAACAACATTAGGAATTGCTCTATCTTGTTCTACGGTGGGGTTGGGGAGTGCAAAAATTGATATTTTAGGTTCTTAGATGTATACAGTTGCTTTTTCCCAGTATTTTCAATTAGATAAGACAGTGTTTGTTGATTTTACTGAGCCTTAAAATGATTCTGTGGTGTTCTAAGATAGCATCCTGTCACTGAGAAAAATAAAATATTTCCGTCCTAAAGCAAATCTCCTTTGAGATTTTGAGATCAAAATCCAGATTTCATTTAAACTGCAGAGGAGTTAAATGTGATGCAACACACGCTGGAACTTCGTCCATGGCAGTATGATGTTCTTGGGAAGATGAAGCACAGAAGGACACATAATGCACTAATCAATATTAAAGTAATCAAAAAGTATGCAACAGACATCTTGGGCAGCTATGAGCCAAAATATTTTTAATAAAATTTGGTGGGTTCTGTTTGTTTGATTTATTTTGTTTGGTTGGTTATGGGCTTTTTTAGACTAACTTTGGAAATGTACAACCTTACAGCTTGACATCTTTGGGAGGCTGGTGTAAAAACTGCCATGTGAATCTGGATCTAAGTCTTGTTCTGTGGAAAAGCTTAGGGAGTGAAGGAATTTGAGTGAGAGATGTGGGTGGTGGCAAAAACAAAACAAGCAAAAAAAGCCCAGTGCAGGCATAAATGTGCTGCACCTAACACTGCTGTCATCCCTTTTCCAGGTGACCCTTCCCAGAGCTGTGATGATTGCCATTCCTTTGGTTACGTGCCTGTATTTGCTGGTGAACGTGAGCTACTTAGCAGCCATGACTCCCTCTGAACTGCTGTCTTCAGGAGCTGTGGCCGTCACTTGGGGGTGAGCTCTGCGTGTGGCAACACAACCGATGCGGCTCAGTGAAATACTGGTTCTCCCCTGAGTGTCAGGAGATTTAGGTCTATCCCCAGAGAAATGGTAGCCCTGCAATGGTCAGGCCAGGTTTATGAAGAGGCAAGATGACCAGAGGGCTGGAGCACCTCTCCAATGAAGACAGGCTGAGAGCTGGGGTTGTTCAGCCTGGAGAAGACAAGGCACTGGGGAGACCTTCTAGCACCTTCCAGTACCTACAGGGGCTACAAGAGAGCTGGAGAGTGACTTTTCACAAAGGCCTGTAGTGACTGGACAAGGGGAAGAGGCTTTAAGCTGACAGAGGGTAGATTTAGATTAGTTATTAGGAAGAAATTTTTTACTGTGAGGGTGATGATGAGATCCTGGAACAGGTTGCCCAAAGACAATGTGGATGCCCCATCCCTGAAAGTGTTCAAGGCCAGTTTGGATGGGGCTTTGTGCAACCTGGTCTAGTAGGAGGTGTTCCTACCCATGGCAGGGAGGTTGAAACTAGATGATCTGTTAGGCCCTTTCCAACCCAAACCATTCTACAAGTCTGTGATTCTATGGTTCTGTGAAGCAGGCTGCCCGTCCCAGCTATGTCACCTCCAGAGCAGTGTATGGCCTTCCCCCACCAAAGGCCAAGGCTGACCATCCCCATCTAGATATGGTCTCCAAGATGCATCAAGGCTGCCAAGATGGTACACCCCTTACTCCTCATTCCCTTTTATTCACACTGGAAACCCATGGCTCCCATCCAGCTTATGTTTCACCCTGTGGAAAGTATCCATAAAGAAGAGCTGAAGGGCATACCAGGAGCGTCTCCCCACAGGCACCAGGAATGCAGTGAGGCACATATCCAGATCTGGGGACTGAGAGATCCTCCACATTTTAGGTATTTCCATAGAAATGGAGAGAGCGATGTGCTGTTCTGCTGATGCAGAGGCAGTGGCTTGGGAGTGAGATAGGAGCCAAGTGGGTGAATCCTGTCCACTTGGCACCTGGAAATTCAAGCAGAGCAGAGTCTTTCAGTTCAGTTTCTCCATATGTGGGGAAATAGAAAATGGCACAGATCTCTACACCACCTTTGAGAAGTGTTATGCATGGGTTGGGTAATCTTTGGTAACTGTAACTTTAATGAGCTTATGCTTTGCCAGAGCTCCACAGAAACTGTATCTTCCATCAACCTGAAGTGTTTGGTGATATCAAACAGTCTGCATGCAAGACAAGGAATGTAGGAAGAGAAGGAAGGGACCATCATGAGAGATGCAGGCATCATCAGTGATCTTTCACCAGAACATCCAGCCTTAGTCTCCATATTTCCAAAGACACAGAATCTCTGATAGGCCTAAATGAGTTTTCTGGCAGAAATGATAACATGGTATATCCACAGATTATGTTGCTGTTCAACCTCTTCCTAACAAGTCAGCAGCAGCTGTGCTTCTGTGTGTGTTTCACAAGATTTCCAGCTTGAAGATCTGACTGGGCTTTTGCTGGATGTGTTCTCTAATAGTCTTTCATGTCATTATAAATAGGAGCTTTTAAAGATCTAGTGCTTTGTTTGAGCATGTTTCAAAGCCTCACTAAGCTGCAGTGGCATGAACTTTCACTGCACTTCCTTTCCCATCATTCCTGATTAACAAGTTATTTGTGAGCTTCCTCCTTTTTAGCACATCTCCTTTTCCTGCCTGATTAACCTTTTCACCCAAGAGCACAATTCAGGAAGAAATATTGATCTAGCAACCAGAAAGGGGGGAACTCAAAAGCCTGGAGGACAGGTAGGTAACCTGAGGCTGAGGAGGGGCTGATGGCCATGGCTCAAGCAAGAGATGCAGCTGTTCAGGCCATTAACAAAGCATTGGAGGAGTATAAAGAAGCCAGATTTGTCACATTTATATGCATTTATTCCCCATATAAGAAGAAAACTGCCAGAGAGAAACATTGCTCTGTGATGAGAGGAGCTCAGGAAACTCTCCACAGCATTTCTTTGATGGCAGTGATTTAACAGCAGGTCCCAGTTTGCTTTTAAGAAGCTGCTTGCAGTAGCCCCTGTACTTCATTTCCAGGGTCAAAACAGTAAAGCACCAACCTCATAAAGGCAAAGTACACAACTGCTAAAGATTTCATTATTAATTGTGTGATGTATGTTGTTTTCCCTTGATATCTTGTGGTTATGGAATTGCATGATTATAGGAGATGGCCAGATTCCATCATTTTGAAAAAGGGAAAAATTTTAGTTCTGTTTATAATTTTTTTGCTTAATAATTTGAAGCCTGAAGGAGCATAATCCAGATATTAAGTTTCTAAGCTACATTTTTTAAATTATTGTGGTAGATAAGCTCCTACCGTGATTTTGGAAAGCTGAAATCTTGATTTTTTCAACGTTTGAGAGAGGTGATACTAAAAAAGAGTGCCTATGGCTCAAAGGCATACAGTTCAATGGAAATATAAAGTGTTCTAAAAAACTTTTGAGTTTTGGATTTTTGCCAGTTAGATGAACATTGCGTTTGTTTGTGTATGTGTATATACATGTATGTGATAATTACCCCAAACACCAGCATTTATTACTCAATTAATACTCTTCATGCTGCTTCATTCCAGAAGACAATCTTCACTTTCAGGTGAGAAGATTATCATATCTTCCATATGTTTACCTTGAACTCTGTAACCCTGCTGCTTCTTCTGTTACAGAGAAAGCAAACCACAAATGTCTGAACATGTTGTAGAAACAAACTTCTGGAATTCAAACCATTGCTTTGGCTTAAGTCTGATTCACAGAGTAGCAGAAATAGGTACATATAGGATTAAAGGATTAAATTCTTATGCATATTGGGGAAGAGGTTATAATGCAGAATATTTCTTCTGGTGTGATAGGAACAGTGATTTCCAAGCTAATATTGTTGGCTGTGATAGCAGTATCTCCAGGCTTTTTGCCACAGCTTCAGTACATAAAAATGGGGGGTTTCATGTTGTGACAGCTTTGTACACCATTGCACTGTGAGCAGATGTATATATATACACACCAGACACGAAGAAAAGCTGTCTTCCCTGGACAAGACAAACTTATTAGTCACTAAATACTCTAGGGACTGGAAGAAGATTTTAAATCATTTAAAAAGACTTCAGAAAAAAAATTTAGAAAGTATAATTGAGGGAAGAGAACTGTCCGGTTCTACGGTGAATATTTGCTACATCTACATATTGTACCTTATGCTGTGAACTCTTTCCCACCTCAGGGACAAAGTCCTGGGCAGCTGGGCATGGCTCATCTCCCTGTCGGTGGCACTGTCCACATTTGGTTCATCAAACGGCACGTTCTTCAGCGGAGGCCGCGTGTGCTACATTGCTGCGAGGGAAGGCCACATGGTAAGCACAGAATGAAGGGGTCTGCCTTGCTCTGAGCAACTTTCCCTTCTTGAGACACTGAAGCAGAGAGAAAAATACTGTGTGTGTTCAGCTGTCAGAGTGATAGCTCTTCAGGGGTTCCTTGCTCAAAGACTTTAACCTCCCCCCATCTTTTTCAAATGTAATGCATATGTTGTCTCTGGGCTTTCTCCTCCAGTCAAGTACTTTCAGAAAGACACATTTTCACATCTAGCCTGAATTTTAAGTACAGCTTCAAAATGAAACACTGAAATCCTGCTGCATTGGAGAACTGGGCACAGGCTGGGGGTGGCCTATCCAATGTATTTGCCAGGAGAGGGAACCTGGCCATGCTTGTGTGTTGCAAGGCACCCTTGCTTGCACTTGGAAGGTAGCCCAGCACTGGCAAGCTGCTTTTGTATGCTATACTGACTACATTGGCTAGTCTCAGGGGTGTTTCAGCCTTCTTGTGGGTAGTCCAGCTCAGATGCAACACAGGATATCTGCTCTCCAAGCTTCATAGCAATTATGAGGTGACACCAAGCCTTACACCTCCCCTCTCGGGGGTTTATCATTGGTTTTGTTAGGTGGGGCCAAATCTGGTAGCCCAGCAGAGGTGAGGCTGCTGTGGCTCCCTCCTCCCTAGCCCAGCCAGTAAGTTCAGCATGTATTCCCAGCAGGCACACACACAAACACAGGTATAAAAACGATATATGTACACACATATATACACGTGTTTAGCTGTATATACACACACCCAGACAGCAGGGCACACAGACAGACACACAGCACTCACACAAACACTAACAGCACTGAGAGTCCCATCTTGTTCCCCTCTCTGACTGATCAGGGGTTCTGTTAGGGGGAAATATATATAGAAACATATGTACAATATGATCCCTCCAGCAGCTGGGCTCAGATATTCAGTCTACCCAGTAGCTGGCCTTGCATCCCAGTCTCCCAGTTGCTGATACCTGGGCATACAAGCCCCTGAGGTTGCTGCCCCATTCCAGCTGCTGATATGGACCCTCTCACTCACAGGTATAACACCTACAACTACCCACACACTTCTCCAAAAAGAGGAGAAGAAAGGAGTTGCATTTGTCCTCCTCTGTTTTGAGCAGGCATATTATGTTCCTCCTGGACTTCTCTGCTTCTTTGGTGCTTCCTACCCACATCACCTGGCATTTCTGCTCTCAGGTGTGAAGGCACTGTAATGTGTTGCACAGGGAAGCTGTGGATGCCCCATCCCTTGAAGGGCTCAAGGCCAGGCTGGATGGGGCTCTGAGCAACCTGGTCTAGTGGAAAGTGTCCCTGCCCATGGCAGGGGGGTTGGAATTAGATGGTCTTTAAGGTTCCTTCCAACCCAAACCATTCTATGGCTCTATGATTCCACACCAGCTCCACTCCTGGTTCATAGCAGGGAATCTTTTATGTATATGAATGACCAGGTTGGTGGAGATGACTGGACTGGTGGTTACTGGTTTCAGTGGTTACTGGTTTCGGCGGTTGCTGGTTCCACAGCTTCTCTCACTGAGGACAGTGCCTGCTGTATCATGGCAAGCTCTATGATAAGCAATTCACAGAAGGTCTGAATTGGACCACACCAGACTAAAAGCTGAATGCTTATGCCATTTCTCAGACACTCTGCTCTAACAGTTGTTGCATGATATTTTAGTTGGTAATTAAAACATAAATATATATATATAAAAGAAAACAGCCTTTCTCATTAAACTTTCCAATGAAACAAACAATAAAGATGCTACTAGTCCTCTCACTGTTCTGAAACAAAACCTCATTTAATTTGTAGTTAGTTACATAAATGTTTCAGGAGTAGTCCTTGTCTTATTTTCCAGTCATCCTAAGAGAAGTCAAGTCCCGGAGAGACATGGCAGGGGGCAGAAGAGTGGGACCGTGGACAAGGTCCTGATGAGGGCCAGGAAAGCTCTGATTTGACTCAGCCTTAGTCTGCCACATCAGTATTTTGAAAATCTCATTTTGCCTGCCAAAACTGAGCATATTTCATATGAAATCAGTGAGACACAATAAAAATACCCTCGAGGGAGGTTTCCTTGTTTACACTCCTTGGAGCTGAACTGCTTTTCTATGATGCTTATTTGCTGATTACAAGTAGCTCTGGCTGCGGGCAGAGCTCCCACCAGCGGCTGAGGGGATGAGTAAGGACCTCTGAGTACATGATATGATGATACACGGTTTTGCTTTGTCTTTCAGCCAGACATTCTGTCTATGGCTCATGTGCGACGCCTCACACCCTCCCCTGCACTGATGTTTACATCTGTGATGTCTTTAATAATGATAATATCAGGAAACTTCACCAGTATCGTGAACTTTTTCAGGTATGTGTGTGTAACATTTCTGCTTGCATCCCCTGTGCTCCTGGGTTTTATGTTGTTTTATAAGTATTTTCTTCCAGTATTTTTTTTTGAGCCTAGGCTGTTGCTTTCTAACCAATACTGGGGAGAGGAGGAGGAAAGAAAGAAAAGAAAGAGCCTGGGAACCAGCATTTTTGCAATACATCCATGCTTCTGTCACTGTAGATTTAACTGGATGTGATTCATCCTCATATTGAAATTAATCTGTAATATTCAGATAATTCTAAAGTTCTATTGTTTATGTTGCAAAGGAAATGAATGGAAGAACTACTAAATTTATATCAATATTCTCCTTTTCAACTGGAGGTATGAACATCTGGGATCTGCAAGGCAGGCCTGACATTCCTGCATGATCTCACCCCAAATGTAATGCTGTCTATTTTTGGTTTTTATTCCAGTTTTATAGCATGGCTTTTCTATGGCATGACTATTTCTGGGCTCCTGTATTTAAAAATCAAGAAACCAGAACTGCCAAGATCTTACAAGGTAAAGTAATAACATAAAACCCTCAACACCCGTTTTCCTATATTGCCTAAATAACTACGAAAACATGATGAGAAAAGAGTGAGCACTGGTTGCTTACAGATTTAATATGGATGTCCTTTTTTTTTTTTTTATTTTCAAGTTATGTCTCAGCAAAGTCACCAAGGGGGGTAAGGTAGTGTGGATATACAGGCATAAGTTAAGGCTGAATTCTCAGTTTTGAGAAGTTAATAGTGAACTGCCCCTCACTATGGAAAATATATCTACCATATCCTCTTTCTTTCCAAAGTTTAAAGAGATAAATGAAGGATGATTTTGACGACAATGCAATCACCTGCTTATGCTCTCAGACCCTGGTCACACTCCTCAGAGGGTAGCCCAGGTGTAGGAATCTTGCAGAGGAAAAAATAACTCATCTAGAATGCCCCAAGTCCTTTGAGATGGCCAGGGGGCAGGTTTGTTCCCCATAAAACAGAGGAAGGAGATCAGGAGTTTCTGATGCCCTGAGCGGGCTGAGCTGCAGTGCTTCCTCAGTGACTGAGGGAAGTATCTTCACAGAAAAGATCTCAAGAACAGAGGATCCGTGAGACCATGAATGAAAGCAGTGACTTTTCCCTGAGTTGAAAGAACATCCTGATTACCATGGGGTTCCTCCAGGAACCAGAGGACAGGCCAGTTTATATTTAGAGGAAAGATTTCCTTGGTTTGAAAGTAGTAATTTTTATTAGCATTTTGACAAAAGTGTTAGAATACAATGGGTAGGGAGCAGAGTAGAGCATCCCACTAAGTTAGATGAATCCAACAGGATTTTTCTCCATGCTCTCACAAGTAACTGTGAACATTTCCTTTGGCCTGTAACAGTGCTCTCGTGTTGGACAAAAAGCACAAAAATAAAAAATGGAAAATCTCAGTTTGAACATTCAGTTTTTCGCCTTGTTGTGAAATCATTTTTTCTTGTGTGCATTTACTAGACTTTGAGGGAGGGTGGCTTCAAATTCAAGTTTAAATGCTTTCTGACAAGGCTTACAGAAATTGCCTCTGAGTTACGTGAGTCTGTACACCAATTGTTTTGCTTTCACAGGTACCAATTATCATTCCCATAATTGTGCTGATGGCAGCTGTGTACCTGGTGTTAGCTCCCATCATTGATCAACCCCAAATGGAGATCCTCTACATCATCGCCTTCATTTTCAGTGGCATCATTCTTTATTTCCCACTGGTTCGCTTCAAGTACCACCCTCGCTTTTTGCAGACCGTCACCTTACACCTCCAGTTGTTCCTGGAAGTTGCCCCGACCACTAAGGACACAAACTGACATAACATGCTCCAGTCACATGGAGGATGCTGCCTGCACCTCATGTTTTATCCCGGCACCTTGGTTTTCAAGGCTCAGGAAATATTCTTCTGTAAAGAGGAATGAGTAGAATGAACGTGACACTAAATTGTCCAGCTGAGATGGACTAGAGCTGACTCCCCAGGTTTCCTCTAAATTCTGGGGATGTGTTTTTCTCCTTTTCATGTATTTTCCATCCCAAGAGAATGGAAAATTTTTCCTGTTCATGGAAATCTCAGATCTTATATTTCAAGCTAAAAGGCAACAAAAGGCAGACAATGAAATACTATTCCTACAGCAGGCTGGGCCCCTAAGCCTTTCCTGGCAATGCTTTTAATCACTTCCACCTAGTTCTGCCCACTGTGACCACATAGCTTCTCAAATCGATAAAACATGGGCTCAGCATGGTCACAACAAAAAACCCACCCTTTTTCACTCAGGTATTTGCTCTGAGAAGGCCTTGCTTCTTCCAGTCCCAGGTGCACAGTCACAGCAGCCCTTTCTCTGTCCCAAATCATCCTACATCTGTAGAAAAACCTCTGAGGTGAGACAGAAAGTACTTGGCTTGAATTGTTCAGGCTGAACTTAAGGAAAATTTCTTCACCACGAGAGCGGTGTAACCTTGGAGCAGTGTGCATAAAGGTGGTGAGATCTCAGTTCTCTTATATTTTCCACCACAGGCACCTCCATGAAATTCTTTGATTCTAAAGGCACAGCATGAAAGTCACGGGCTGTGCTCTCACCCACGCCTAACACACTGACGTCTCTGTTGTTTCTCATTACCCTGATGCTCAACTGTTTTTCTCCTGTTCTAGGGGGGAGATATTATATGCTGTTTTCTTCCAATTTGTCCAGATTGTTTCAGGATAAGACCTGTCCTGTCATAGACTAAAACTAGGAGTTAGTCCCTAAAATGCCTTGTTATATCTTAAAGTACTGAAAGTTATTCAGGTCAACTTCCTGTCAGCATTCTTCTACAGATGTGTGCCTAGCTGCTACTGTGATCCTGGGACAGGGCCACTTGATCCTTCAGACCTCTTCCCAGGCCCATCTCAGAGCTGTGTATCTGATTACAATCTCATTCTGCAATGCCACCCCTTCTATTCCTCTGAGCTGTGATACCAGCAGTTACAGGGATGCAACAACAGTCTGTTTTTCCAAGTGTAAGGTATGATAACGGGATAGGCCAGTTGCCACTCATGCAAATCCTTAGCTTAAACAGTGTTTAACAGGAGGATTTCCTTCTGATTTTTACTGGCATTTTCAACAAAGGTCAAGGAAGGAACAATGTTCCCTCCTGAATCCTATGACAGTGCAAAATTCTTGGGATGCCTCTCTTAAAGGACAGTATGTACTTAAAGGCACTGATGAGCTCAGGAGGCCTAGGTTACCTTTCCACCATTGCCCCAAGCTTTTCATCTGATGTCAGACAAGCTTCTTAGTGGAACTGCATCTCAGCCACTTATCTAAAAATTAGGATAATATTATTTTTCTGATTATAATTTTTTGGAAACCACCTCTGTTTTCTACACCTGTTTTATGGAGCCTACCACACAGGGTGGTTGTGCTCTTCTGAACTGGAGACTAGTGGCAAGTGGTCCCTTCCAACCCAAATCATTCTATGATTCCACCTACAGTCCATATCTAAAAAGCGAGAATTTAAAAGCTTATTTAAAGGTTAGACATGCACAGTAGTTGGGGCTTTAACCACCTATGCTTGTGTACCAAGTACAACCAGGGTTGGCATTGCCTGCAAGCAATTCCTATGGAACAGGAGTTATTCCCACTGTTTGATATTAGGGGTATAGTACACTACAGATGATGAGAAGATGGAAGGATTAAGTGGTTTGCTCAGAGTCACACAGGAAATGTGTGAAAGATATGGCTGTTTCCCCAAGGTCCAGTCAAGCATGTTACCACGTAGCCCATCCTTTCTCCCTGTGCACCTGTGACATATGAACACTAATAAAGAACACAAAAAGGCTTAGCCCTTTAGATAAATAGCCTTTATATGTTATTGATGTATGGATATAGGAAGCTGGAAAGCTGCAAGTATCATATTTTGCACCAATCTCATTTTTTATAGATATTACTGTAACAAGATGTTCTTTTTATTTGTGTTGCCTAGGATTTGCAAGTGCAGGTGTTTGTAATGCCAAAACAAGATGCTGAAAGCTCAGAGAATCGCAAGATAATTGCAATAAAATGGGCATTACAATGAAGTGAGTTAATGTGGCTGTTTCTGTTTTTCATCCTAGAAAAACAGTTCCATAGAAATTTTACTGCATGATCGTAAACAATCAGCATCAGGCTTATCTCTCCTTGGTCAGAAGGTTTAACTACGTGCGTGGGCAATTATATGTGCATAGACTCATTTTTCAAGATGATTGCTTATCTATTCAACCCCAGCATATGCAAATCAGAGACTCTTTTTCCTCCATCAGACATTTACAATAGAAGTGTCAGGAAGAGGCAGCATGTCCTTACCATTCATTACTGCAGCGCAGTGACAACAGACAGAGCTCTGCCCCTGCTGCTTGTACAGGTTGTACTGTAAGATCCTGCTGGTTCTCTCTGTCTCCAAAGCTCCAGATCCCTGTGACCAGTACCTAACCCCTTTCTTCGTGGGCTCAGAGGAAAGCTGGACTATCAGCATTGCCCTCAAGATAATCATAAGATCTTCACCTCAAGATCCTGAGTGTAGTTGAATCCCATCCTCCAGGTGGCAACTTGCAGTAACCAGTCAGGAGTTTTACCTTGATGCACAGAGCTGAATGTATTCTGGGCCTTTTCTGACCTCCTCAGAAGCATCAGAGATGGGCTACACCTGGGGACAGTCAAGGATGGTTCAGCCAGTGAGAGGGTACAGAAAATCCTTCTGTGGTGCTTTTCTGGTAAGCCTTGCTCCTATTCCTAAGTTCAGGTGCCATAATTTGTGGTTAAGGAGAAATTTCCCCTTGAGTGGGACAGAACTGAATTTGTAATGACTTTAATCTTCCTCTGTTGCAGAAACAGTTCACCCACTTAGATTGGCTGGATTTATCTGATCAATTCTTAGCCAGTGTAGACGGTTTGGTGTTCAGCCTCTCCTGCTCTTTCTTGGGACATGGGGAGTAAGCAAGGCCTCTCTGCTTGGAGCAGGGCTATTATCATGCTAGATTAGGTCACCTGTGACTCTGTCTCCTCATGTTTTGGAAAGCACTGAGGATAGAGAGCCTACCATCTCTCTGCACTGACTGTTGCCCTTCCCTGTATCATCTGCTACTGCCAAAGAGGTTGGCTCCATCCTTTTTGCAGGTCTTCTTCACGGAGCTGTAGGTTGGTGTTACGTTGCTTCTTCTGCTCTTTGCCAGACTTAGCAAGCCCAACTCAACAAGCTTCTTCATGTAGGTAATGTGCTCCGGGTCTCTGTTTTGGGAGCTCTCTACTGGACCCTCCCTAGTTTCTCCGCCTTCCTTTTGAACTGTGAAGGGATCTGAAAACTGGATGCAACATTCCAAGTGTGCCCTCACAGGTGTCAGGTCTACAGAGACACACTAAACATCCCTCAGTCTAGGGGATGGGCCTAGACTGGGTAACCCCAGATGCTTTCAGCCAGTCTCTCACTTCTGAGAGCTTCAGCTGACTCAGTTGAAGGCAATGGCAAACTCTTATTTTATACAGTTGGTGCTCCTATTAGAAACTTTGGCTCTGATAAATCTAGCATCAGGATGACTCAGTCCAGCAGTCATGAGGATCTGTATCTTGCACTTTACCGTTTATTGACTAGTTGGTTGGATTCCATCAGGGTCTTTGTGTGTGTGACTCATTCCTCATGAAGGAGTGATTTTTGCTAAAAAAGGCTGCAGACCAGGGGTCTATAATAAGTGGGTGGTCTTGGGTTTGTGAACTATCAGTGAGGCTAATGGGCAGTGAAATAGCCCATCTGTTCTTAGAATCAGGCTACGACATCAGATTTGTCCTCAGAGATGGTGAACCCTATGGCTTGAGTGTCTGGCAGATAAATGAGCATCTTCTCCTTCTAAAGGTTGGTCATTAGTTCTTACTGTTTAATTTCATGGACAATGCCCTGGTTTCCATGCAGTGAGGTGACAGGCAAAGGGGGAGCTGAGAACAGGAAACGTAGATTGAGAAAGAATTCCTGTACATGCAAGTCGTGGCTTGTGTGTCTGAACTACCTATGCAAAATTCAGACATGGACAGCACCTAAGCAGCAAAGACACGTGCCCAGAAGTTCTGAAATGCCAGAATAAAATTTCTTTGCTCAGCAGTGATTCCTTTCCTTTCTGTTTGTACATTCTGGGGCTATTCCTCAGTTCACCATCTATTTTTTCCATAGTGTATCTGTGTCATTAACAAAGTAGAGCAACAGTCCAGTATCCTCCCCTACCTCACTACAACTCTTCTCAGGAAACTGTAGAGACCAAGAAGGTCTCCCCTAAGCCCAGATAAGTCCCCTGGTCTGCTGTCCCCAAGACAGGTGAGAGGATCCTGGGAGTGGAGGGCCAGGGAAGTGACATGGCAGCGAACAGAGCTGAGAGACATGCCAGCAGGTGTCAGGGGCAGGCGGGTGATGAAGCGCTTAACAGCATCAGCCTCACCCTCGCCTGTGGCAGGGCTGGACAAACAGCTGAGCTGCCCTCAGGTGTGCAGCTGAGGCTGAGGAAGGGCTCTGTTGTGCCCAAGGAGTTGTTTCACTGTGCTGCCATGGGCAGCCGTGTGCAGCCTCTGCCCACCCAGAGTCGCCCTGTGGTACCACCCTTCAGCTTCATCCACTGTCGTCACAGAAAAGCCCATTCTGGGACAGGGGAATAAAATCAATAAGCTCTGGTTGTGGTCAGACAGATGCCACCTCTGGAGCAAGGGAGAAGGCAGTCCTGCGGCTGGAAGTGAAAGCCAGAAAGGGAGCAAGTCCTGCCCTCTGCAGTAGCAGCCCCTGGTCCCTGTGTCCATCTATCTGTGACCTGTGACCACCACCCACCAGAGCCACCCTCTGAACAGCACCAGGGGCACTCCTCTTGGGCTGCAGCAACCCTTCCTTCCCTGAGACAGGGGATTCTCCCAAAAGCCATGGCTTTTTTTGCTTAAAGTAGTAGTGGTTAGAAATGAAGGCAGCTTATCAGGCTGAAATCAGCACAAGTCCTTGTAAAGTCAGGCAAATTCATGAAAACTGAATTATTCATGTCTATATTCAAAACATATCCATCCCCCTGCCATGTTGGAAATCCAGATGAAATGCTTTCGTGCTGGAGTTGGATACCCCCAGAGGTACTTTCGTGGTGCATTTTAAAACCCTGGCTCTTTGTCTTGTCTTGAGATCAAAGCTTGTTAGGAAGCAGGAACCGCCTCGCAGAGCAGGCAGGACCT